TAAAATATAACTGTGCAAAAGAATAATAAATTTATTAATTAAGCACTAAATGTAACATAAAATACATAATCTTAATAGTCATGATAATTATGAGAAATGAGAACGCGACATTACATTATTCATATCCCTTCAAATAATTTCATCCTCGAAATTAAAACATACCAAAAAAATAGGTCTTGGCACGTATAGTGTCATCATGCTCCTATGTTGTCTCTTCCACTACACAATTCCTCCAAAATAGGTGAACTACTGTTATACTCTAAATTTTGCACGAGTGTCTTCTCTATTTAGGATTTTGATGCATTGCAGGTGGTGTGGTCCCTTTGTTGCTCACGACTCAAGTGTCCCAAAATATTAACACAAAGTAATATAAATGTCTTAAGTATATAAAAGTTGATCGTATAGTATATAGAATGTTAACAAAGACAAAAAGTACCAATTAAATTTAAATTCATCGTCGGCATATATATTTTACACAAGACAAACGCATTATTTAATTATTTACTTATTTATAAAACTTTCACAACAAGTTAGTACAATACAATAAAATATTTCGTAATATTTTTCATAAGTAGTCTTTTACGATTTTTTTTATAATAAAAAAATGATAATATATTTTTGTGTATATTATGGACTTCAATGCACACATATTTCTTACACAAAATACACACATTAATTAAGCAAGCATGAAAGACATACATATTAATTTAACATGCTATATATCCTTTAAGAACATAGTTGAACGTTTATAATTTAAGTTCTAATTAATCCAATATAGTTTTAAACCAATTAATATACAATATAGTTTTATCCAATATAGTTTTATCCATGTTGATAAGGTTGTTGTAAAGGTTGGACATATGGACTAAAAGAGATGATTTTTGAGATCGAAATAGATATCGACGTAATTAAATCGAAAAATCTATTAATCAATCAAATTATTTTTTCCATTTCTCCATTTCATTTTTAAAATTTATTTTTCTCTAAACTCACTTTCAATCACATTCTTTTAATAAAATAATTTTGTACGTGAATTTATAACTTTTTCCTATTTTTTAATCATGCATTTTCTCTAAATATCGCTTTTCACAAATTTATTATAAAAAAAAAAAAATCTCTAACAATACAGGGGCCAAACAACTTTAGAAATAAAATTTTTAGGATAATGCTACTCGGACCATGCTACTCAAACAGAGAAAATGGACAGGAAAATAGTGACAGACTGACTTGGCGTGAATTCATTGGGAGGTGGACAACTTTTTAAGAAAAACGGGCCAATCAGAATTTGCCAAGTCAGTCTGTTTTGGAAACCCTGTCAATTTTATCTGTTTGAGTGGCTTTATCCATGCTACTCAGCCAGGCTTAAAAACAGGCTAAAATACAGAAATTTGAAATTACTTATGTGGCACCAAGAAATGAAAGAAAATGGATATTGGTGTCAGTGGCTGTCGGTTGCTTTGTTCAATTCGTGAGCAAGCTTTTGCGTTTTAGTTTTTCTCATAAATGTGTTAATTTTTGGGATTATTATGAGATATCAAACGAATTCGAAATATTGCGTTCTTAATATCATTTTAAAATTCTCACGACCTAATTTTTCCCATCCCCAACGACTTGCGAAATGGCCAACCGTAACGAAAGTTACCATTCGTCGAAATAAGCTGTTCTAAAATATATAAACAATTATTCTTATTAATGTGTCAATTTTCGGGATTATTACGGAATGTCAAATGTAGTCGAAATATTACATTTTTAATACCATTTCAAAGTGTTTACGACCTATTTTTCCCTATCCCTAATGACGTACAAAACGGCCAACTATAGAGAGAGTTAGCACTCGTCGAAGTAGGCAAAAATAATCCCGAAAATTGATACAAAAATAAGAAAAATTGTTTATATATTTTGGAACAGCCTATTTCGACGAGTTGTAATTTTCGTTACAGTTGGCTGTTTTGCACGTCGTTAGGGATGGGGAAAACTAGGCCGTGAACATTTCGAAATGGTATTAAGAATGCATATTTCGATTTCGTTTGACATCCCTTAATAAGCCCGAAAATTGAGACAAGAATAAGAAAAATCGTTTATATATTTTGGAACGACCTACTTCGACAAGTACTAACTTTCTCTACGGTTGGCCGTTTTATACGTCATTAGGGATGAGGGAAATTAGGTCGTGAACACTTCGAAATGATATTAAAAATGTAATATTTTGACTTCATTTGTCATTCCGTAATAATCCCGAAAATTGACACAAAAATAAGAATTATTGTTTATATATTTTGGAACGGCTTACTTCGACGAATGGTAACTTTCGCTACGATTGACCGTTTCGCACGTCGTTGGGGATTGAGAAAATTAGGTCATGAGAACTTTAAAATAATATTAAAAATGCAATATTTCGACTTCGTTTGATATCTCGTAATAATCCCAAAATTTGACACATTTATGAGAAAAACTAAAAAGCAAAAACTTGCTCACAAATTGGACAAAGCAACCGACAGCCACGACACCAATGTCCATTTTCTTTCATTTCTTGGTGCCACATAAGCAATTTTAAATTTCTGTATTTAAGCCTGGCTGAGTAGCATTATCGAAAATTTTAAGTTGAATCACTTGGTTAGTCTAGGGATGGCAACTAGGGTTGGGCAAAATGTCCGAATCGAATCGAGCGGGTTTTTTTAAATGAAATACCCGAACGGGTATCCGAATCGAGAACCGAATGCTTTGGTTCGGTTCTCGGTTTTAGACCCAAAACCTAAGAATCGAATAAGAACCGAATTTTTTTTTTATATTGGATAAATCAATTTCTTTTATTTTTTCTAAATAAATTAATAATTTTTTCTTATAAAATCTTATTAGTTGAACAATTTAGAATTTATTTATATTTGTTAGTTGTGTTTTTCTCAATTTTTTCTTGTATAGTCTCTTAATAGTTAGTATGGAAAGTCAAACAATTGATTATTACATTAAATAGTTGGTAAGTATTATCAATACTTTAAAATATTTTATCTTTATTACTTCTAATTTATATTTCATTTTTATGTAGACTTGAATGTTTGAAACAAATGAATTATTGATATGAATTATCGAAGTTTTATTAGTAATATTTACTTTTTCGTATTTGTATTTGTATTTAACAACTTATTATTTATATGTTATTAAATTGGATAACGTTAATTTGTAAAAGTTAAGATTGAACTTGGTATTATATCTACTTTTTGTTATTAATATTAGTATTTACTTTCAGGTGTATTTATGTAGTAATATTTTAAATGTTAAAAAATTTAATTATAGTACGGAACCGAACAGAACCGAACCGAACACAAACGGTTCCAAAATTATATTTGGAACCGACGATTCCATTTACTAAATGCCCGAAAATTTCTAGAATCGAAAAAAAGGGAACCGAACCGACCCGCGCCCACCCCTAATGGTAACAGGGCGGGTTCGGGGCCGGGCACCCCTACCCCACCCCGCCCCACCACTTCCACTCTTTGCCTCGCCCCGCGCCCCGTCTTAGACAGGGCGGGGCGGGACGGGACGGGACGCGCGACAGGACCGTTTTCCTGCCCCGTTTATTTTTTTTGTAATTTTTTCTTTATCCTAAAAAATTTTCAATTATACGGTTAAGGAAAAAGATAACTCTACTTCCAAAAAATATTTGTTCATCAAATTTAAGAACATAAATTTATAACTCTACTTTTAAAAAATATTTGTTCATCGTGTATTCTAGTAAAGAATATATGGATACTTTTTTTTAATGGTTCACGGGGCGGGTTTGGGGCGGGGCATCTCCACCCCACCTCGCCTCAAGACTCGAGACGGGGCGACCCTCCTTGCCCCGTCCCACCTTGAGACCCGAGACGGGGCACCGTCGAGGTGGGGTGGGGCGGGGCGATTTTTTTTTCCCATATCTAGGTTAGTCAAAGTTAACAAGTATTAAATATAGAAAAAGGGTAATGCTATAAATTATTTGTCTCTTGGACAGTCATTATCTAATTTTCATTTAAATCGTGGTTGAAAAATAGAAATGGAGAGGGGTGGCTTTAGATAACACATGAGATTATGATATGAGACGAAGGGTCGGTGAGGTACGGTAGGTATTGACTATATAATATGTTTGAAGCAATCTCAACGTGTGAGATTTCGAATGGGAATGAACAATGTTACAACATTTAAAATATATAATAGCATATCTTATAATCAATTTGAATATAAGTTTATTGTCACATTTCGGCTTCAGGTGGGGCCAAGAACGTGGGAATGCCGTGTTTGAATTGCCACCTATTCATCGACCATAGGACAGGTGTCTGTGTTTTGATGGATGTTTTAATTGTCAACACCACAACCCACTATTTTTATTATTTTATTTTATTTTATTTTTTTGGATTTTGCTATTCTTTTCTCTTCTCACCTAAAGTTCAATTACAATATACATTCAACGTTTTATTTATATTTTATGAAAATAAGTATTTTAACTATTAGACAAGAATTTAAGTCATTGTTTGACAATCATTATTTTTAAAAAATAGTATTTTAAATAGTGATTTTTAAAAGAATGTGTTATTAAAAAGTAGGAAAAAAATTTGAATTTATGTGCAAAATATTTTATTGTGTAAATGTATAGTTAAAAATGAATATGTATAAAAAAAATTTGAAAATAATGGTTGTCCTAAATTATTTATGGTTTTTATTCAAATTTCGGTCAAAACGTGAAGTCCCATGGAGGATTAGTTGGGGGAGGGCAGTTTTGGAATTCCCTATTTCTTGTACTTGGTAGATGAAATATGTGTTGGATGTATGTCCACGACCCACGAGTATAAGTAAAGGTGTGGATTGGAGCCTGAGAAAGCAGTAGAGCTAACTGTGAACTCTCTTTGTTGAGTGGAAATTAAAGTGATTGAATAGTTCAACACAGGAAGAGTAACAGTGCGTCTCTTATCAAAACTCGGAGTAGATCAATCACTCCGTCTTTTCCAAAATTAATTTAAATGATGATGAGCATGACCAGCAATCCTTCTTCAAGGAGTGATGATGATCAAATGAATCATGAAATTATGGTGGATCAACCACTGTCCACGTCTGCGTGTGGTGATAACTCCGCCTTGTCGATCGATAGCTTCGACAACAATTGTCATGCTGATCAAGAATATTTATTCGAGAGAAGAATGAATAGCTCAGGCTGCACGAAGTGGGTGGATTTCCAGTCGTATTACTCGCTGCCAGCAACACCTACGGCTAGCGAGAACGATGAACACCCGAATGTGCCCGTAGAAAATGCTTTTACTACTCCAAGTAATGGACGGAGAAGAAGGGGGAGATGCAGACCCGCTACTGCCGCTAGTATTACTCGTTCATATGGAAATACTGATGAAGAGAACGAGACACGAGGAAGAGGAGGAGGAGATTTGGTTGTGATAACGAGGGCGAAAGGAGGGAGAAAGCCAATATCCATGGACTTGGACGAAGTGAAGGCCTGTAGAGATCTTGGCTTCGAACTAGAACATGATCCTCGCTTCTTCAATACCATCCCTAATTTCTCCGCCACAAGCAACCCTGGTAGTTATGATATGAAAAAAAAGTTATTAATGATTTAACTTTAGTTAGTTTGTCTTATAATAATGTTTCAATTCAAAAATTCAGGTGATGTTAAAGCACGACTCAAGATTTGGGCACAAGCAGTTGCGCTTGCATCTTCTACGTCACGTCTCGGCTGCTAGTAGTAGTATATAGTCATATATGTGTCCCCTTCTCTTGTCCACTATTTTGTACTGAGTTTTTTTTTTTCATACGAAAGTAATTTCCTCACTTGTTTGTAATGTACATATCCAACTACGTTTACACCCTTCTTTTTATACACCTTTTGATTAGCCTGTATATTCATTCAAGTGCAACCACTCCAAAGTCTTAAGACCAAGGACTAGGGTGGACACGGAGATTTTGAGTTAGGATGTCACAACCAAACTTTCAAAAGAGTTGTGAAGAATTTTACATTCGAAAATTTACCTAAAAAAATAAAAAATAAAAATACCCCATATAGATTTACATCTGAATTTTACATGAGGTATAACTTTTCGGATGTAAAATTTTGAATTTTTTTATGTAAATTATATTGAGAAATTTGTCATGCAAAAATAATTAACATAATGAAATAATTGAATTTTTTTTGAAAAAAAAAAAAAAAGAAAGAGTTAGATGCCTCTTTTTAAGATGCACGTTTGAAGTATCTTCAACTATTTTCGAAATCTTTTTGGGCAATTTGATATGTTATGATGTAATTCTCGAAATGAGTTTTGAGATGACGTAAGTGATCTGTGGATTTGGCTAGCGTAATATCTTCGGAATTTTTTTTGAATTAGCATGTTATAGAAATTCTCGAAATGTTAGTTTGAAAAGGCCTACGACAAGCCGTAACATTTGCAATGGTAGGCCGTTTCGTGCGCCATTAATGACATTGAAGACTAGACTGTGAGCATTTCGAAATGTTTTTATGAATACAATATTTTGACTTTATTTGATATCCCTTAATGACTTCTAAAATTGAAATACAAAAACAAAACAAAAAAGGGAATTTGTCCAGTGGATTTAAGTGATCAACCTTACAAATCTTCACCTTGGATCACATGTAATCCATTTCCAAATTTTCTGATTACAAGTGATATCCCTTAGCGCAGTCTTATTTCATTATCATCGCTCATTCTAGCTCAGCACGTACACAACAATTGGTCATTACCAATATTGAAACATTTGTTGAACTTACCAATCGCAAGTACTTTTGTTTCCAACATCTGTGGAGTTATCATCAATTAAAATTTTATGCTAACGTCTCCATAATGAAGTGATAATTCACATCAATACGCTTATTTCTTTCATAATAAACATGATTTCTACACACTTCAATGTACTTTGTCTATGAGAAAAAATCATTGCATTTTCATTTATGAAATTTAATTCACTTAAAAGGCATTTCAGACACATGTATTCTTTAACAGTTTCAGTCAATACAACATATTCTACTTCAGTATTGGAGAGTAAGACTATAGATTGCAACTGTGATTTCCATATGATACAATTATCACCTAAAGTGACGAAATATGAAGTGATAGATTTCTTTTGATCTTTATCCCCTCCAAAGTTAGAATCTACATATAATTTAAGCTCTAACTTATCACTTTGCTTTTTAAACACTAATCCCCTTTTTAACTTCGAGCTAGGTATCTTAACAACCATTTAAGTACAAACCCAATGGCATTAGCATAGAGAATATTATTCATTTCTTCTTTAGTTTTAGGACATTATGTAGATCACAAAGTCATGTGTGCAACTAATGGTATATTGACATATTTAGCAAATTTCATTACAAATTTAGTTATCACATTATCCAAAATTCTTTATTAATGGTCATCATATTATCAACCATGTTCCTTCACGAAGAATTTTTTTGCCCATCCTAAGTCTTTCATGACAAATTTTGATTTCAAAAGGTAACATCTTTATGATTTCAGTTTTACTATAGTTAGTAATTAACATGTCATCCACATATAACAATAAATAAATTTCATAGTCCGCTTGTATTAAAATACAAACATGCATCAAATTCACTCTTTTTTAAAACCAATTTTGAGCACATAAGCATAAAATATTTTATACCATTGCCTAGGACTCTGCTTAAGATCATACAAGGACTTTCTAAACAAGTACGCATATTCAGATTTTCCCCTCACCTCGAACCCTTGAGGTTGAGACATGTAAATCAATTCTTCCAATTTCCTATGAAGAAAAGTCATCTCAATATCTAGTTGCTCCAACTCCCAATCATACTGAACAACTAAGGCTAAGATTAACCTGATAGTTTTATACTTAATGGCTAGTGAGAAGACCTCATTATAGTCTATTCACTCTCTTTGAGTAAATCCCTTCGCAACCAACCAATCTTATATGTTAAAGGGTCTTTAGGTCCTACTCCTTTCAACTTGTAGATCCATTTACAATTGACTACCTTTTGATTCTTTGGTTTTTCAACCAACTTCCAAATCTCATTTTTGGTTAGAGACTGTATTTCCTCTCTCATAGCCTTTTTCTAATTTTCAGAATTTTTACACTTAATCGCTTTCTCAAATGAAGTCGATTCAACTGACTCCAAGGCCTCACCCGAAACTAAGACAAACACCATCAAATTTGAAGAGATGTATTTTAATTTGGGTCTCACTTGTTTTCTCTCTCGATCCTTCACTAATTGGTAAACATGCAAATTTGTAGCTGCATATATTTCTTGATTATAGTCTACATTTTTAGGAATTTCAAGTTTAGGTTGTTCTATCTTTGCTTCTTGACTATATTCTTTTTAGGTTTAATTTCATTATCCTCTGGATTATCACCTATTCTCTTTACTTCAAACTCAATCTTTTGCCTAATAGATGATTTTCCTTCCCCAATCCGTTTCTTCTTACTATCTATATTTTTTAGGTAAGGCATATCAAGTTTATTGAACTTTACATCTCTACTGTTAATTATCTTAATGCACTTCACACTTAAAGTCCACAGTCTATATCCTTTACTCTATTTGGATAACCTAACATGACACACTTACTAGCCTTAAGGACCAATTTACCCTCAATCTGATGTGAACAAGCAACACAACCAAGATGTGTGACAAATCTGGAGGCTTTCCAAACCATAATTCTTGGGGAGTAGTGAAGTTAACAGCACTAGAAGGTGACCTATTTATCAAATAGATAGAAGTACACACAGAAGACCCAGAACCCTTTAAACAACTATGAACTGATGATCATCATACATTTGAATTTATCCATTAAAGTTTGATTCATCCTCTCTACTATCCCATTTTGTTGAGGGGTATTTCTTAGAGTCCTATGCCACATGATACCATTTTCCTTGCAGAAACTATCAAATTCAAAGTTGTAAAACTCTAAACCATTGCTTGTCCTAAGAGTTTTTACACTTTTACCCATTTGATTTTCAACTAAAGTAAGTTTGACTTAAACTTACTAAAGGTTCAGATTTGGATTTAAGGAGATATACCCAAACCTTCCTCGAGTGGTCATCAACAATGGACAGAAAAAATCTATTCTCTCCAAGTGTGGGAATTTTCTTAGACCCCAGAGACCTGCATGAATATAGTCTAATGGTCTTTTAGTGTTGTGTTCACCTATTCTAAAGCTAACCCCGTGTGATTTTCCTATAACACACGTCACACAAAAGCTTAAATATGTAACACTATCCTTACCATGTAAATTCTGGTCACTAAGACATTTCAACCACTTGTTCCCACTGTTTCTCATCCTCTTATGCCCAGTTCTTATCTATATTCAAAGACTTTGATAATGCCAACTCTTTGCTGTCTAACGCTTCACTTTGAAGGACATACAACCCATTCCTCTTGGGACCTTCATAACCACTAGAGTCCTTTTGTAAATCCTCAAAATACCAACATGAAATCTGAACTCATAACCTTCATCTTTTAGAATGCCTAAGGAAATGAGATTTCTTGCTAGACCCGGGACATACCTAACACATATAAAGGGTTCGATAGTGCCATCATGTATCTTAATAGCAATATCACATATTCCTTCCACATTGTGCACACTATCGTCCCCCAAGTTTACTTTCCTAATATTAACATCTTTGTAGTTATAGAACCAACACTTAATAGGACACATATGAATAGTGACACCAAAGTCTAAAATCCACTCATTGTGAAAATCAATATTAGACACATTCATAACATGTATGCTATCATGAGTACGATCTACATTGCTGTCAATATCTCATGACATAGTCATAACATGTAGACAATTAAGGGACTCACCTAGAGCAACTAAGTTCTGACCATCACTCTCCTGCTGTCTCTGTTTCTTCTTAAGGTCATGACAGCCTTTTCTTGAAATGCCTTAACTGGTATACCGCAAAGATAGCATTTCTATAAACAAATTCTCTTCTTTCGAGCTATCCTTGGACTCTTTCTTAAGCTTTAACTCCCTAACCCTCAATGCATTAGTCACAATATCTTGGCTCAAAGTATCCCTAGCATACGTGATAGCATTCTTAACATCTCTATAGGATTCGGGCGTAGTATTCAAAAGTATAATAGCTAGATACTCATCATCAAATTTCTTATCATTGTGGGCGAAACACTTGATGAGCTTATTCACCCCAATCGGAATCAAAATCCTTTCCCAAGTCCGACTTCAAATTGAAAAGTTTTTGAAGCAGATATATTTTGTTTGGAAGACATTTTTTCAAAAATTGCTCGTCAAGTGCTTCCCACAACTCTTTGACAGTTTTATTATTTCAATAAATGCAACACAATAGAACTATGTGCAATTTCATCTATCTCGTCAATTTCAACCAGTTTAGCTTTTAATGCACCAGGATATTTTTCGAGTCGTTAAGAGCTTTAGAAACCTTTCGTTGAATTAAAATAGCTTTCATTTTTTTGCTTCCAAATAGAATAATCTCCCTTACCATTAAATAGTGACAATTCAATTCGAGAGGCCATGATAGCAAAACAATGTTTTTTGAAAAAGGTTTTACTCAAATGATTTCCATGTGCACAAATAGAAGCTCAAACCAATTGATGTATACATGCTTTCAAGATGACACAAGCGTCATATCACAACAAGTAATACATAGACAATATCACAAAAGTGAACTATCACAAATTAGATGGTAGCATATAATCACAATATCACAATTGTAA